ATCCTTCTCACCAACCACCCTCTGGCGACTGCTTGAATAGGAACAGCTGCAGATGACCACTGCCTCACCATCTTTCTCACCAACCACCCTCTGGCAACTGCTTGAATAGGAACAGCTGCGGATGACCGCTTCCTCACAATCCTCCTCACCAACCACCCTCTGGCGACTGCTTGAATAGGAACAGCTGCACATGACCACCGCCTCACCATCTTTCTCACCAACCACCCTCTGGTGACTGCTTGAATTATTATTGCTGCAGAGAACATCCTATCATTTTCAATACACGAGCCACTCTGATCAACTGCATGATCCTCATGAGAGGATTCCTCAACTAAATGAGAGAATCCCTCAGCTGCATGATCCTCATGTGAGGATTCTTCAACAGCATGAGAGAAACCGTCGGCTGGATGGTCCTCATGAGAGGCTCCCTCCATGATATGAGAAGATCCCTCGCAAACAGAGTGCTCGAACGCCAAGACTCGTTTTGAGAGCAATGCTTCCCTGTAAAGAACACTTGCAGCTTTTGCTGCTGGCGTCTTAGTTCCTCGAGATGGGGGATGAAAACCACCCCACCATGCATCGGATGGTTGGGGAAGAGGGCATGGACTGCCTCCTTGTGACTCTGGGTGCATCCACTCCGCTTGCGGCCGAGCACTTCGCTGCATGAATTGCTGCCAAGCACGCTGAATGCAAATCGCAGCCTGAAATGTGACACATCGCCATATACAGATCCCGGCAGGTGGTACATGTGTCAGTCAAACGATAATTAGTAAATAACTATACAGTGAAGTGCCTCCGGATGTACACTGGTTCACCGTAGGCACATTATTAACCGTGTCAGATGGTGTGCCAAAGCCAGCTGAATACAGCTAGTCAGATGGTGTGCCACAGTAGGCACATGATTAACCGAAGTGAATAACTCATATCAATTCCCAGCAACCATACAGATATGACAGCTACAAGAATCACATTGGCCTGCATGGTTAATTCTTGGCGTATGGCTATGTAGAACCGAGCCTTCAGATATGAGCCTTTGCAGAAACAACAGAGCACATGACACATTACCCAACCCTCAGGCTATGTTTCCAAGAAGTGAAGAGGGTCATTCCAAGTGCAAACTGGGTTACAATTCCAAACATAAAGCTAGAGATCATTCACAACATCTTCAAATTGACGAGCGAATCTTGCAGGACAGCATGGAGACTGGCTCGGCCCAGAAGGTCGCCAATCAGTTGTTCTCGCGGCCACAAAGAAAATTGGCACACATTGCACAATTTTCTTTGCAAACGTTTTTGGGCTGTTTGCTCAAACGATTTCATTCCCTGAGAAAGAATACTTCTGGGCTGCAATTTTTTACCCTTTGATCATTGCGTTGCACGGTTCCACACCTCGCGGCACGATTTTCGCCCGTTCGCATGATGCTATGCAGTATGAAGAAAACAAAGCGGTGTAGAGCCCCCCACAGAGAGACAGAGAGAGACAGAGAGAGAGAGAGAGAGAGAGAGAGAGAGAGAGAGAGAGAGAGAGAGAGAGAGAGAGAGAGAGAGAGAGAG